CTCTCTCTCTCTCTCTCTCTCTCTCTCTCTCTCTCTCTCACTCTCTCTCTCTCTCTCTTTCTGTATCCAAAAGTCCAGTAAGATAGATCCCTAATATCACTCAACGAATAAGATGTACTTTATAGAATATGCTGTATTACGGAAACAATATGACTTCGCCAAAAACGATTAGTTAAGTAACGAACAAAGCATGTAGTACGAACTCGAGCGCGCGTTCACTGGCATTTTCCCTCTCCACCGTCTGTGTGTGCGTAATGGCTCCTGCACACAGAACGCGGAAACGCTTGCCGCGCGGCGGAAGTTTGCGCGATAGCCAATCAATATGCTGCTTTCCGTAATAACCTTGTAGCTCTTATGGAAAAACAACATTTGATTGGCTGTCGCGCAAACTTTCGCCGCACGGCAAACGTTTCCGCGTTCTGTGTGTAGAAGCTATTAGTAGAGGTAGAAACACGAGCAAGCGTAGACTCAAGTCCGTACCATTGCTCACGGGTATCATCTCTGATCGCAGAGATTAGGCGTTTTGACGATAACAGAGATAGGCCCGGTTTTACTAATTCTGACTAACCGACCGCATTGTCCAATTGCTAAACTTAGTTAAGCTTATATAAGTAAAATTTCAACTTCAACTTCGTTACTTTTTACGTATTAACTTTAAATTTTTTTACTTTTCAATTAAGTTAATATATTTCATTAATATTAAAGTTAGGTGAAAATGGTCGGGCACAATAACAGACAGGTATATAAGAGTAATATTCATAACCAAATCTTATATTTATGAACGTTTCAAGTTTATTTTCAGATGCTGTACGGGTTGTTTTATTAGCTATGCAGCATCTGAATTTGAGATACTTTTTAATAAAAGATCAGATTGTGGCTGTGATCGGATGTACGCTTGCAGGACTGTAAACGTCATTCTACCTTTATTTTTTATTACATGCCACACAAAGGTAGAATGAAGCTTATGTGCCATAATCGCAATATTTATATTATTGTACAAATTATGTAAGAGAGAGAGAGAGAGAGAGAGAAAACATATCTCCTTAAATAAGAATACACTTTCATTATTGTACATAAATTTAATGTAAATTTAAAGGCTAATTATAAAAATATTAATAATTTAAAAAATATGTACAGTTTTACATAATTAACTTTTGCATAAATAACTTCTAACTTTATTTTTAACTTTTTAACTTTTAATTTTAATAGAATTAATTTTATTTTAACTTAACTCTTAACTGAGTTAATATTTTATTTAAGTAACTTTTAACGTAAACTCAGTTCTTTTATAGCGACTAATGTTTAACTTAACTTAGTTAAAAATCAAAATTAACTTACCCAATCCTAGTTACATAATAATCTAATCTTATACAAATTAAGATTATTTATAATCGTTATACAATAATCTAATATATATTATAATTAGGTTGCATTTGAATCGATGTCAAATCGATGTCAAATCAATGTCAAATCGATAAACTATAAAAGGACAATAATATAAATTATATATTGAAAAAATTATATTTTACATTGATAATACAAAAAATACAACTACATGCTATTATAAATGCAACACATCGAAAAATCATCGAAATATGGACAATTTTCGATGTACTGCAGCATGTCGATGAGAACTGATCATTTCGACATCAAATCGACATCTTTTCGATCAATCATTCCTCACTGGGTTTAAATAAGTTTCTAACATATTAAAAATAAACAAATTGATTTAATTTTTATACCAAAATATTTTGCGGAGTATTATTATAAGAAAAGAATTTTATACTATTCTTTTACAATAATTTTATTGTAAAAGAATAGTATAAAAATAAAAAATTATTGTTTTTACGGAAAGTTAATGTCATTATGTTTTTTATGTGGGACACATAGTAGAACACCTCACAAAACTTGTAAATTCTTCAATCATTACTGTTCAGAGACACATAATATACGGTCAGTCACAAAAAGATTGTAACACTTTTTATACGTTTCGAAACACACAAAAGTTACGATAAAGCAAACCTATAATTTGATATGCGCAGTAACATCATTTGACAGCTGTCAAAATTATATGTAGGTTTGCTTCGTCGTAACTTTTGTGTGTTCTAACATATATTTAAAAATAATGTTACAATCTTTGTATGACTGGCCATACAAGAATGTAAATTATTGCATACGGATAATTATTTATTGACAATTTGCTTATAAAACTATACAATTCTTTTATTAAAATATTAATGATAATTAATATTCGACATTGATCACTTTTTTTAATATTAGTTTCTGAAACATAGTATATAAAAAGAAATAATGTAACTTAATATTTTAAGAATATTATGTATAAGTATGTACATGTTCCTTGTGTCTATGATGCTAGAAATCAGTTCGAGTTCTCAAGAAATGTGTAGCCAATTAAATTGCTGCTTTTCCGTAAAAATTGCAAGTTAATACATATTTTATACATTTCTATACATTTCTCTCGGTTCGAGAACTCGGATCGATTTCTATCATCATGGACACACGGCTTAATATCATATTATGTCCAAAATGTATAAATTTAAATTAGGTAATATTAAATATTATAGATAATCGATATTTGCATAATTTTAATGAAGTAACAAGAAAATATCGTCTAATAATATAAATATAAATAATAATATTAATATAAATATACTCACGGTAATAAAAAACAAAATTTTAATAATGTTGTCTTTATGCAAATATATCAAAGAATTTCTACAACTCAGTCACAGAAGCGACTAGATACTTCATAAGCGAAAAAACTAGCTATACAGTGAAAATAAATTTGAGACGATTTGTAATATGAAATCTGACTCTAAACCAACCACTCTAGACCAGTTTTGACTCTATACCAACTTTGGAGCGTTATTTATAGTCCAATTTTAATATTCAATTGCATTTGAATCTTGTGTACATCTTCTCTTTTTGCACAATAATTTTATGCTTTTTAAAAATAGTTATTAAGGAAATTATATATACCTGATTGAAATGAAACCAACATCCAGTTAACTTAGCTGTAATTTAATGCTGTAAATTAAATAGTAGCTAACGTATTTCATTGAGAAGAATGTTGTAACCAGCAACGAGAATGAAGGAACTAGTTGTTCATTTATCATAAAATGTAACTACACAAGAAACATAATTTTAAAAAATTAACATAATATGTTGCAAAAAATCTATATCCTGTCACCCAAATCTGCAGATAACTGGATTCAACAGCATATTCATAACTATCTATGTTCGCATTAATGTTGCGTTCTATGGACAACATCTGTTGAATCGGCTTACAGCAGATTGGTAACAGGAGTGGGCATTCTTGCAGACATAAACAGCTATGGATCTACTGTAGGATTCTGTAATTCGCAGACTTAACTTGCAAGATACATGATTAAAACATTAATCTAAACTATAATATATAACAACAGTTTCAATATTTTTTACCGTCGCAGACAGCACAATGTCCAAAAAACGTGACATAAAACGTCTTTATAAAATCTTTTTCCAGACATTTCATGTTCTGTTTTTAGACATTGTGCTGTTAGGTGTATTGTTTCTCATATATGTGGCCACTTATTATGAGCTTGTTCGAAATTGATTCTGATGGGAATTATTTTATATATTTCTTTTATATTTTCTGAAGTTATACAACAATTTCAATTAGGATCAATTCCGAAGAAGTTCATAATATCCTGACCATACTGTTTTATTGTAGTACTTACCCAACGAACACAACATGTAACATACATGTTAATTGTAATTTCCTACTCAACAATACAACTGTTATATAACATGTGTGTATGTTATATGTAACGTTATGTTTGCTGGGTAATAATTAGTTGTATCTTTTCAATATTTACATCTTTTCAATGCAGGTAATGACAGCAAATTGTCAGCGATTGGACACAACCAACCGATGCAAAGAATTATCTAGTGAATTACCAGGTCGAGCCAATAATTACAATCTGTATCCAATCGTACCGTGGTCAATCGGGTCCCACCCTGTCCATTTTCAAGTCCCTATGGATGTCATTGTGTACGTACCATGGAGCGTTTACAATTCCACGTAGCGCTTTGTTTTGAAAGTTTTGGATTATTTGAATATTAGATTTCTTGGTGCAACCCCATAATTGCAGCCCATATGTCCATACCGATTTTAGAACTAGTTTGTACAATAATAACTTGATGTGTATGTTCAGTTTCGAGTTCCGCCCAAGTAGCCAATACATTTTCTTATACTTAAAGTGAAGTTCTGTTTTCTTTTTCTTAACATGTGTCTTCCATCTTAGCTTAGCATCAAGCGTCATGCCTAAATATTTAGCTTCGTTTGCATATAGTACTTTTTGTTGCTTAATGCAAATGGGAATGTTTTGTGTCTTTTTATTTGTAAAATTTACCTGTGTCGATTTTGACCCATTTAGCTGAATTCTCCATTTTTTAGTCCAGATGTTGATTTTATTTAAGGCCCGTTACAGCTTCCTTGTTGATTCTTCAATGGTGTCTCCAACAGCCATGATGGCAGTGTCATCTACAAAAGTAGCCATACTTGTTCCTTTATCTTGTGGAATGTCACTAGTATAGAGTAAGTAGAGTGTTGGACCAAGGACACTCCCTTGTGGCACCTCCGCTATAATTTCATTGAATTTTGAGTATTCACTTCCGTGCTTGACTCGGAATAACCTATCTGACAGGTAGAACTCCAAGATTTCACAGTATCTCTTAGGAAAAACATTCTACAGTTTGAATATGAGATCCCTATACCACACCTTGTCAACGCTTGAGAGACATCTAACAAAGCACTTAAACATACTTTCTTCTTTCCCAATGCTTCTTCGATTATATCAGTAACTCTATGGACCTGTTTTATAGTTGAATGCCTACTTCTAAATCCGAACTGGTGAGCTGGTAGGGTGGGACCCGATTGACTACAGTACGATTGGACACAGATTGTAATGATTGGTTCGACCTGGTAATTCACTAGATAATTCTTTGCATCGGTTGGTTGTGTCCAATCGTACCGTGATCAATCGGGACGCTCCTGGGTCGGTATAAGGTCTCTCGTCTAATATTGGCTTTATTCCTTTTAGCAACAGTTTTTCGAATACTTTTGACATAATTGGTAGCAGCGAAATGGGTCGATAGGATCTCTTGTCAATTGCATTTTTGCCAGGTTTAAGAATCATTTTGATTTCAGCCACATTCCATTGTGTTGGTACGTATTTTAATCTAAATGTAGCATTGATAAGATGAAGAAATTTTTACGTCGCTTTGTTGAGTAACTCTTTGAGGATTTTTTGTGTAATTAGGTCATATCCAGTAGCCTTTCTTGCATTGAGATTGCCTTTGATCTCTTGTCTGAGTTCTTTAATCATTACCTGTTCGGTTTCAATGCTGTCCATTCTATTTACTCTTCCTGCCAAGGATATATTTTCATCAGCTGTTTGTCTAGAAAACGGTTTAAAAGTGTCTTGCAGATGTTCCGCAAATAGCTCAGCCTTTTCTTTGTCACTTCTCGCCTAGTCATTATCTCTCTGATTGGTGTTTCTTGAACTCTGGATCTCTTGAGCCTTTTCGTGGTTTTCCACAGCGAGTACTCAGTTTCTTTTTCCGCAGTTAGCTCTTCCAGGTATGATCCGATTGTTTGATTTTTTATATCCGAAATCTAATACTTTTATATGCAGAATAATTAGAGGAATCATTATAAAAAAAAAATCATATCGTTCCATTTAAAAAAGTGGAGGTGATCTCTATGTGTCCTTGAAAAATGGATTTTTTTGAGAATTCATTTCATCATCCCCCTTCAAATAATTTTTATCGAAAACATTTTTCTATGAAATGTACTATTCAAGAAATATTTGAGTAAATCTTTTAAAATGGGACACTGTACATATGATCTTTATTCCTTGCCATATATCCAGGATATATAACACCATTTTATATCATTTTTTTTGTAATAATAGCAATTTTGTATTTGAATCAATTATAAAATTGCATAGTTATGGCGTTAAATAATAAATAGTATAAACAAGAGTCATTACATGTGTCCGTAAAATCAAAGAAAAATCAATTACAATTTTAGAAGATTGGCCGAGAGAGATTGGTTATCTTATATTCCTTCTCTTTCATTTTTGTTGATATTTGATATGTTCACATTTGATATGCTATTTAGATGCGCAGTCCGTACTTAATATCTTTGATCTATATTAGCATGTCGCTTTCTTTTTACTTTGCAGATGGAACAAATATGTGGAAAGAAACCTGGTACTAAAATTTATGTTTACGATGATTATTCATATAATAAAGATTCTCGTAATACTAACATTCTGCGATGTAATACTCGTCGATCTTCAAACTGTTCTGGCGCTCTAAGAATTGATAATGATGGCAAAATACATGTAACTCAAGATCATAATCATACAAAGTTAAAATGGAAAGTAAAACAGTATGTAATGAAACAAGAAATGTTGCAACTTTGTAGAGATACATCTCTATCTTTTAAAGAAATATTCGATAATGTTTGCAGGAAGTAAGTATTTTTATTATATTGTACAACATAATGTTTGCATTTTCTGCTTTTATTTATTTATGAATTTTTCATATTTTTTCGTTCAATTGTATATATATCAGTTCAGTTTATATATATCCCACACAGCACGTAATATCGCAGAAATATCACAGCAATATTATATTTTCATTGCAATATTACCAGGGAATATAACAGAAATAATGCTAGAATATTACTAAGATATCACAGTAATATTAAAATGTCCGCGACAAATGCATCACAGTAATATAATGGTGAAAATCACAATGATATTACTGTGAGAAAATCATAATATTTAAAAAAATATACTTATATATTCCTAGTTTTCTCATGTTTCATAAACTACTACGTATCGAAGGTTGTCAAAATACACTCCAAAACTTTCGTAAAATCCTCCAGCGATAATTTCGATCCCAAACAGTATATACTGTAACGTCCGGATCTATTTTAGAACATTAATAATATATTATTATAGACCGGGAGGCCGACTTGTCTGATTTCAGACATCACTAGATATTACATCCCTATGTTACTAGATGTAAGTACGTGCGCATATGCATATTCGCGAGCGTTAAAACATTATAATTAAAATGCCGAATGCTGCGTGCTGCTGGAGAGTCTCGAAATCGACGGATCTCGGATCGACCCAAAGAAACCGCTATCGCTCAGTGCGATAAGCCAACATAAACAGGAGCATGAAAGCTGAATCCTAAACACCACTCAGGACACCGACGCGGTGACATCATGCAAAGGAATGAATCTCTTCCCTCGCCATAACTCCATGGACCAATCGGAGAACGACTCTCAGCGACAAAGCGACGTATAAAAGCGCGCGCATTTGTAGAGAAGGCAATATATATAATTATTTTCTTCTCATAGTTAGTCTCTGGTAGCTTCATGTACTTATTCAGTATATTATACTTAGTCGTAAAATCCGACTGTGTTGCAATTACTTTTGCCTACCCTTCATATTTCAAACATTGCGAAATCAAATTCTGAATCACGGGCCGCATCAACCCGCGTGGTATCGGAACTTCCGAGGCTGAGCCAGGAGAACAAGTACCGCTGATTTTCCGCCAGATTCATCAATCGTTTCGCCAGGCTCCCGAGACCCAGGGTAAACTTGGTGAAAAGCAGAGTGACCCAAAAGCGGAGCCATCACTCTGTTGACCGTCCACGTAAGTCACTGATTTCACTACTTTCAAATTTCCCTATATAGTTATCTATCGTGGACGTAACAATACCACTGGTCACCCATCAATGTCCTGACCGCATTAAACTGTTGCTTAACCTGACGATTGAGCGCGCACGCAGTGACTCTGATGACTCCAACGACCCGATCAGAAATGAAATACGGCAATTTCTGGTATCTGATACGGGCCTGATAAGACATACCATAAATAGGGCTTTATGACTGGTCCTTATCAGGCCCATATCTGGCAATTATTGTTGCAATACGGTATCTTGATTTGGGCATAATCCGGCACATGTATTTATCATTGTCTATAAAGGCCTGGATCTTACCCAAGTATGGAATATGATTACCTATTGCCGTATTAGTCCCAAATAATACATATGCATGGAACTGGTAATATGTTTCTAACCTGAAAAGTTTCATTCTTCTGAATACATGAGTGATATATTAAAGATAATAGTAAATACTGTTAGAACAGAGGATATTTTATATCGCATAAATATTTCTGTAAGTATACCATGTGTGTTTGTTGTATCTATTGTGTATATATATTTTTGTATAATTACCCAGTGAGGAAAATGAGTGCAAATTGAGCGAAAATTGGCAGCAAGTTCGATCAAAACTGGATGCCAAAACCGTAGCCAAAAGTGTCCTTTTTAGGCTTGTATTTTGACCTCAAGGCTTGCTGCCGGGCAACTTACAGCAAATTCGCAGCAAAAACTGCGCAAGTCTTGCAGCGTACCAAGATTTGTTTGGTTTTTGCCGTAAATTTGGAGTCAAACTCTGCGCAGTTTTTACCGCAAATGTGCATCAAATTTCCGGCAGCAGGCTCTGTTGCATATTTGACGGAAATTTGGCAGCAAGATCTGATGTAACAGATCTTGCGTGAAATGTGTTGCCTATTTGTCATCAAAAGTTGATAACAAGCTTTGCTCGAAATCAGTTCGCACAGGTT